TGCTGTCCATTCAAGCGCGTTTACGTAAGTTTTAGATATACAGCGATTTTTGGAGAATATCCAAAAAAGTGAAATTTTCTGAGTTAATAACTTTTTTGGGAAATTTTTCGATTTTTTGCAGATTGACTAACCTTGAAAAATTAAGAATTCTTAATTTTGAAGAACACATTTGCAGTTTTTTCGGTTTTGCTTCGTTTTATTCGTGTTTTTTTTTTTTGTCTGTTTTAAGTTTTACAGATTCAGGTCACTTCACGTTGTGTTGTGCTGGCACGTCGCTTCCAAAAATACACACTTTACGATCGTTTGAGTACACGTCCATTTCTTTTCGATATCGAAAAACGATGGATTGCTTTCCAGCTATTTAAGGTTGTGTATTTTTGGCTTTTTTTTTTAAGAAATCGTGCTCCCAAAGCTCTGTATATAAATGATAGGAACTTTATTTGCATCAAGGGCTTTCCGCTCCGCTGTTCAGGGCGAACTTAGCTGCCGGAGTTGTAGGAGCTCATGTGCTTTATTTGTTAAAATTTTTGCAAAATTCCTATGTTTTTAGGCACTGGCCCAGTGTGAAGCTGCTGATGTTTGTCATGGTGATTTGAAAATGCAAAATGTTCTCGTTTCAAGCTCAAACTGGGTACAAATCACCGATTTCGCCTCTTTCAAGCCGGCCAGCATCCCATCGGTAAATCTTTCTTTATTCTTTATTAGCTTTCTTGGTTATGTATTAGCTTTCTTTATTGTGCACTGAAACGTCTTAACTCTCTCGTACCTATTTTCCTACACCAGCAGTATTTCTAAATCCTTCATTGCATAGCTCGCCCTATTTTTGTTTAAGATCTTCATATTACTTTTATGCTACAATCATGCTATCATCAGCTTAGCACTGGAAAGCTATTTTTTTTTATGATAAATTGGTAGTTGTTAAAAAAAACTGATACTTTGGTACTTGAAACTGATACTTTAGTACGGGTAACTGGTACTTTATTTCCTGTTTTCCTTACTGATTTTTGTCTCAGTATCGGCAGTCATTTCCCCCACCAGCCGCCCCTTGGTATCCTTATTAATTTATCATTTTTGATATATTTTATCATTCATTTCTTATCAATTTTAACATCAGCGATTATTTTTTTTTTTCATTTTTTAGAATATCACGAAGCCCTGGGACTTCTTCATATTTCTTCCAGGTAGTATGTGAGGCATAATTGATGTAACGCGTGTTTTATGTATATTTTTTTTGCAGGATGACCCATCATATTTCACATTCTTTTTCGACACAAGTCGACGACTGAGCTGCTATTTGGCACCAGAACGATTCTGTACCAGTCAGGAACTGAATTTACATCCAAATTTACCGGGTGAATTCATGGATGTCTCAAAAGGCCTTACACATTCTATGGATATATTCTCGCTTGGCTGTTTGCTTGTTGAACTTTTCACTGAAGGACAGTCTCCTTTTACTTATGAGCTACTTGTTAAATACAAGTAAGTTACCTAACAGAACTGTTTTTTCGCATTTTTTGCATTTCTGGATCAAATTGGGAATATTTGGACCTATTGCAGATCCCTGAGAAATATTAAACTATCAAACACGAATTGATACTGATAAATTAGGGCCATTTCTTGATGTTACGAACCGAGAAAACTGCTAAAGAAGCCAGCAAACCGGATATTCATGGCGAATTCCTTCGCATTTTCTAGGCCAAGCATCTCTGTGGCTAGAATTTTGTGAAAATTCGCGAAAAGCTAGCAGAAGAAAAGGCACCAAAAAAGAGTGTGAATTGTGCAGGAGAGGCAGAAAAGAAAAGAAAAATGTGGGCTGCCTTGGAGGCAGCCCGCATAAATTCATATTGAT